TCCTACCCCTACCCACCCACCCGCGTCCTCTGCTTTTGTCTGAGGGTATTGACGGGGTCACATTCCTCGGACCTCTGCGGGGACTGCCGGCTTTGCAACATTCTCACCTCGTGGGACGCGCTCACCATTTCTCAGAATCGCTGTAAAATTCCGGCTCGGATGCCCCATTGCAAGCCCCGGGGTTTTCCCTTTGCCACGGAAATCAGGAAGACGCTGTACTGGAAGCCTGTCCTCGAAGCTCCCTCCCTGGGGTGACCAGGCAAGCCGGGATGGGCAGGGGCGCGGGAACAGGTGCTCTGCCCCTCGCAACCGTCTCCCTCCACGTGGTCCCGGCTCGCGGGCGCGGCGCCCCCTCCCGGGTCCGCGCACACCTCTTTCCTCTCCGACCGCCTCACGGCCGTCATAGGTGGGGTGATCAGCGTCGTCCCCATGCGGCTCCCCGGCCTCCCGCCGTCCCGCCGTCCCGNNNNCCGTCCCGGGCGCACGCCTCTCCCTACCCGGCGTCGCCGGCGGCCGGAGCAGCAGCAGCAGCAGCAGCGCGGGGAGGTCGCGGACCCAGCACCCCCGGAGCCGCTGGCGGGCCATGGCCTTACCCCGTCCGCGCCCCTCGCCGGCGCCTGCAGATGCCCAGGGGTCGGGGAGGAGGTGCCGGGCACGGCTCCGGGGACTGGCCGCCCCGCGGAATGCATTCGCTTTCGCTTTTGCTTTAGACCCCGGAGGGCTGGGGAGAGGGGAGAAGCGAGACCGACCCGTGACTCAGCGTCCCTACCCCCTCCTCTAGGAAAAGCCCCGGCAGCCGCGGGGATCCCGGTGCCCCCGCCCCAGTCCCTGGAGCACCAGGGCCCGCGCAGAGCGGCGTCGCGGACCATCACCTGCGGAGGACTGGATCCCTGTCCCCTTCTCTCCTCGCCTCTCGTGACCCCAAAAGGCCATTCGGTCTCGTGTCCCCATGTAGAGGGAGTGAGCAAAGCCACGGGGAAGCAGGGTCTTTCCAGTAAACTGGGGGTGTGGGGGGTGGAG